CTTCTAGGGGATACAAGAAGCTTGAACACTCTTAAAACTTCTAGGGGATACAAGAAGCTCGAACACTCTTAAAACTTCTAGGGGATACAAGAAGCATGCATCTTGGAGCTGGGGGGGAAGAAGAAGGCAAGGTGCAGAAACACTATTTTCTAAGTATGGGAACATCCGGTGCTCCCTCACCCTCCATAACCCTCTCTCGCTTGCTCTTACCTCCCTCTCTTCTTGCCAGGTGCAAAGCACACAGATCTCAACCAGCTCTTTGTCCAATCCTTAGGGCCACTCAACGAAACAATCTTTCCCAATCTGCACCTCGATCAATGGCTCGTTGCCCTCCGAGTCTTGGACCTACATCGCAGGCCCCCTCATAAACCTCTTGCAAGCACAACGATGGCCTCTCGCTCGCTCCACTATGCTCTCCACAAAGATATACACACCTTTGCTTTCAAACACAAATGTTGTTATCCACTCACCACACGATGAGCCTCGTCTATCGACAAACACCATAACAGTCAAAAAAACAATCCACTTGCTCACCTACATACACAAACTTTTTGACAATACAATGAATACATCATAAACCCAACAAATATTTATATAAACTCATGGACAAGGAAATCATAGCCCTTGATTTTCTGCCCCCGTCATGGCCACCGACAAGTCTCGGCTGCCCAGCCCCTTCTAATGACACTGGGTCAATCCGAGCCCTCTTCATGGTGACATTCCTACTTTTGCTCTCCCTCCCTCCCTCCCTCCCTCCCTCTTCTACTTCCTTTTCCTCCCTCCCTGTCTCTCTCAATTTCAGAGAAAGGGCGAAAGGATGACATACCTCAACAACAGTCGTCGAAAATAAAATATCCATGTCCCCTTCCTTGAAGCTCTTCATTGTCTCTTCCTGGATCAAATCACAAGCACATAGAGACATAGACATTCAAAGTGAGGACTATGCCCACAAGTCCAGAGCAGAGGAGAATTGCTGTAGATGATATGAATGAGGTCGATTCCTTTCACAGGACAGTATAGTACTCGTATCTGTTGCCCACCTCACAGCCAACACGCTTGATATTTCTGCAGACAGCTTTACCCTACACATGGTTTGTTCAGGAAAACTCACTTGCTCTGTGACCTTACCGAATGGCGGACTAAGCGGCTTAAACCACCAGTACTGGTGCTTTTTAAAGAGAAAAAGGCATCCACCAAGGGCCATAGCTCACATTATTAGTCGTTACAGGTCGGGCTATGATATAGCCATCATGCCGCCTAATCCATACTGGTTAGGCTGTAATATAGCAATCTTATAGCCTATGATGCCTATATAGTATAGCCATTGTATCGCCTACTCCATATTGGTTATAGGCTAAATCAGGAGGGGTATCATAGATGGAGTAGCCTATATAGTATAGCCATTGTAGTCGTGGTTAACCGACGACCTTGGTTTAAACTTTTCGCTGAAAGTTTGTGAAATTTTCTTCGAAAGTGTTGCACTTTTGCTTGGATTCTTGGACTCCTTTTTTTACTTTTGGGATAATCTATTTCTGCTTTAGAGTACCTCTTCTGTCGAGTTCTAAGTAACATTTCCACAGTGGAAATATACAAACAGCTTTTCACATTTGGAGAGCGGTGGAGCACGGCCCTGCGTGTCTTTGGAGTTTCACCACAACAGCCCCCCTATTCCACCCAGAGGAGTAGATCCAAAATTGAAGCAGCTTTAGTCCTATTGCAGGCAACGAAAACACTTGCGTCGTTGAGAAAATTAAAGAATGAAAAAGTTTTTATTTTTATTTTTTATTTTTAACCTCCATAACAAGCCCGTATTCTCCTCACCATCTTCCAGAGCGATGCCATTACACAAACCCCAGTCGTGGTTAACCGACGACCTTGTTTTAAACTTTTAGCTGAATGTTTGTGAAATTTGGAGAGCGGTGGAGCGCAGTCCTGTGTGTTTTGAATTCACTTTGGTTTTCTTTGGGGTACCCCTTTCATTTGTTCTTGCAGCTCCACGTTTACTATGCCTCTCACGTACAAGGCTGGCCACATCGATTGTGGTTGAGCACCACCTCGGAACAGAGTAAAGGGGGAGGTATACTCCTGTTCATTTCACGTCAGACCTTCAGCTTATATTTCGCCTATTCAAGTGATGGTCTTTCACTTTGTATGCTAACTTTTTTCAAGAGGGGTTTCCCGCTTATATGCTTTCAGCGGTTCTCCCATACCAACGTAGCTACCCGGCAATGCCACTGGCATCACAACCGGTCCACGATAGGTTGACCCATCCCAGTCCTCTCGTACTAGGGATGGCTTCTCTCAATTCTCTTCAAATCTACTCTTTTCTCTTAATAGTGCTCATCATTCGTCGCCGTGAACATTCATTCTTGGAAGTGGTAGTGTGAGTGTGCCCTCAGTGGGGGCATCTCAGCCCCCTGGTCAGGTTGTCAGATTCCGGAAAGAGAGAAGGAAAAAAAGAAAAAAACAAAACACGAATTCAGCCGTGAAAATGGCTGGATACATTCCTCTAAGTGCCAGTGTGATCAGGGTTACAATCCTCTGAGGAAACACAGCTTGAGCAGATCACGGATTCCGCCCTGCCTCGTTGGCAGGGGACTCATAAGGATGAGACAAGAAAGAAAGAAAAAGTTAAAAATACAAAACAACAACGTTCAGAATCTGACCGTTTTAGCTGTAAGATTCATTCTGTGGAGGACTACTGTGAACACGGCCTCCTAGACTACCCTGCCGGCCATCGTCGCAGTAGAGAAAGTATCTTTTTTTTTTTTTTTT